AAAAAAAAAAAAAAAAAAACCCTAAAAAAGAAAAGTTGCATTTCAGGTTGCCTAGGGTGCCTCGCTATCTCTTTCATCCAACTCATCCTGTCTCATCCCGTCTCATCCCCGTTTAGTCACGTGGCAGGCGCATTTGAACCCTCTCGCCGGGCTGCCTCCGTCTCCCTGCTCGCGTGAGCTGCAGCCATCTCCTCGCGGCCTGCGTGCCTCCAGAGGGGCCGTGTGCTTATGGCGTTTTAATGTAGTACTTTGGCCCCTCACAAATGGACGAGCAGAGCAGTTCAAGGCGAGAGAGGCCAGCTGCAAGGACAGAGCACCCACTCCTGTGTCCCCTTCCAGGTGCCCGCAGACGTTGAGAAGTGTCAGGATCGGATGGAGTGCTTCAATGCCGACCTGAAAGCCGACATGGAGAGGTGGCAGAACAACAAGAGGCAGGACTTCCGGCAGCTGCTCATGGGCATGGCTGATAAGAACATCCAATACTATGAGAAGGTAGGGCGCGCCAGTGAGACACAGCCCTCCCTGAGGAGGCGCTCCCCCAGCCAGAGCCTTTCCGAGGGGCCGTCGGAAACCAGTCCCAACTCCTTCCCCGTTTTATTTTTATTCTTAGCAACTTCTGCATGTCTTTGCCCAGCTGTGCCAGATGCGGTGCTGATTTGAGGAGTAGAGTCCCCACCCCTGCCCCCCGCCGGGTGCCCACAGGGATTTCAGTTGCAGTCACTGCTGAGGGAAGCAGTTTTATCTTCTGTGCCCTTTGGTCCTGGAGGCTCACTGCTTCCCAGAATCAGGCCTTTCAGTGCAGGGATGTCCCCAGTTAATGGAGGCTTCGGGGTTACATTAATGCGGTTTTGGGTTACTTTAATAGGGGCTTTGGGGTTATAGCTTAAAGGAATCACCTGCTGTGGTTCCACATACAGGGTTCTTCGCTTCCATTGTGCCATGGATCCCTTGGTCATGTGGTGAAGCCTATAGAGCCCTTATCAAAATACTGTTTGTTTTTTAAAAAGATAGACTTTAAAATACTGCTTTTGAATACCTAAAATAAAGACATGTAGGATTACAAAGGAAAACTATTAAAAACAGCTTTTTTCATGAATTCCCTTATACCACAAACAGGGTCACTGTCTTGGGACCTTGTCTTGGCTCTTACATACTTTTAACGAATGCCGTCTTGTACAAGGGATGGGCACACATTAGTAAACAAAACAGCAGGACTCTTGCTGTTAAGGAGCCCTCGTTCTGATGGAGGGTACACACTGATACAATAATTCCACTACTCCGAGTGAGAGAAAGAACAGGAAATTGTGGGAGAAAGTACTAGGGGGCATCGTTAAGATTAGGGATGGAAGTGGGCAGGAAAGGCCAAACTGAGGAAATTACACTTAATCCGATTCTGCCCTGGCTGGTGTGGTACAGTGGTTAGAGTGTCGACCTGAGCACCACAGGGTCTCAGGTTCAATTCCTGGTCAAGGGCATGTACCTGAGTTGCAGGTCAGATCCAATCGATGTGTCTCTCTATCATATTGATGCCCCACCCCCTCCACTCTCTCTAAAATCAATGGAAAAAATATCCTCACTTCTTGGGTGAAGATTAGCATAAAAATATTTGATTCTCAGACACAAAGACTTGGAGTAAGTTTTCCAGGCAAAAGGAATAACATATGCAAGGTAGGAAAAAGCTTGAGCATTTGAGGATCAAAAGGAAGGCTGGAGTGGCCTTGGTTCCCCATCACTGACAGAGAAGGATCCCTCCAGGTCCAAGGTGATGGCCCAGGGAGAGAGCAGGGCTCGGAATGCCTTGGGCCCCTCCCTGGGTCTCTGGTCAAAAGCAAGCTCCGAGTCTAGCATCTTCTCCAACCTCAGAGTCACCAAGAAAGAGAAACAGGGATCGATTTCACCACTCCTCTCCCTGGCTTGACCTAGGATGCCTCTCTCCTCCCATCTCCTCCGAACTCATCCCCAAATGACTCAGCACAGATTCTTGCTTCACTCCTTGGCTGCTTCTAAGACAGGCCTTGTGTGATTCCCCTGTCCATCCTGCTTTGCAAAAGACTCCTCAAAGGGAGAACCATTTCTGCTGAGCAGGGTGGTCTTAGAGAAGAGTGCCTGACTTGTCTAAGGATCTGGGGTGAAAGGGGATGGGTATAGTGGGAAGAAGCTTGTCTTGGAATCATGAGCTCCACCACTTACTAGCTGTGTGTCTTGGGCAAGTTATTTAACCTCTCTGGGTCTCATTTTCCCCATCTATAAAATGTGCGTGTGTGTGTGTGTGTGTGTGTGTTGTGAGAACTACTGATAGTGATTGTAAAATACATGAGTGTGTTTGGACATGATGAAACAATAAATACCGAGTTCCTCCCACCATTGTCCCTGTGGGGAGATCCAGGAACAGCCATACAAGCAAAGGTGAGATTGGTGAAGAAGAGCGGGTTTCTGCCCCCTCGGAGCCAGGTGGCTGACTCATTCCAGTGTGACTTACAGCCTTATGCGGGCACCACCTGTACCTGGAGCCATGTCTCCTTCCTGGCCAAGAACCTAGGGCCTCATCAAGAGTTTGCAGCCTGGTGTCTTCTCTGTGTTTTAAAGGGAACAAATTTCTTTCAGTGACTCCACTTCCACACCCCGGACGTGAGCATTTAGAATGGACAGTGCATTGTGACCTTGTACAGACGCTGTGGTCTTTCATAGAAATGGGGGTGATGTATTAGAAACCAACACCTGCTGCCTCCCCTGTTTCTAGTAGTTATGGATAACGCACGTGGGCATCATTAGACAAAGGCGGCCCAGCAGGATCGGCAGGATTAGAGCAGAATTAAGAAGCTGACCCTGAGATCTGAAACCCGATACTGACATGCTGTGTGCACGTGTTGTTGTTTCAGTGCCTCATGGCGTGGGAGTCGATTATTCCACTTCTGCAGGAGAAGCAAGAGGCCAAGTGAGGTCCTTCTTGGGACTGAGACTCTTCTACCTACACAGGGCATGTCATCCCATCCTGGAATGTCCCTGCCGTGCCAGAGAGGAGGCACCGAGCAAACCACCACAGGGACATCTCTCCTCGTGTACCTCTTTCCTTCCCCACCTGCCTTTGTCTGACAGTTGTTTTCACTTAGTATTTATTCCCCGGTGGAGGCTGTAAGGCTATATTCATCTCTCAGTGAAAGAAGCCGACCTCTGCGCTGTGGAGGGACCTATGAAACTGAACACTACGAAGATTCGAGAGTGAGGGACCAGACATCCTCAGCTGACATTCTGACATCTCATTACAGTATCCTTTTCTGGGACAGTGGAGCTGCCTGTTGAAGAAGAGAATCCAGGTCCTGCTTTCCCGGGATGTGAGGAAAGCATGGATAGGAGGTCATTCTTGCTTTCTGTGGCTACACGGCAGCTCTGCTACTGACCTCTGTGGGCACTGATGTCCAGCCTGGAAGGAGGGACCTTAATGTACAGTGGCCTGTAGCTGTGAGTGTGGCCTGCTGCCTGTTTGTGATGAGTGACACCTGTTTGATGGTCTCTGGCTCACACAGGACCATTTAAATCAGTGTCTAAATGCATCTGAGCTGGAGCAAGTGAGCCAGTGTCCTTGTCCTCACATGATGCCTCGGGGAGCTGGGGGACAGTGCTCCCCAAAGTTGTTTCTGACACTAGAATGCGGTAGATTGAAAACTGAAAACTGTTTTTGTGTAAAATGAAAAAAGGTGCATTTTTCTCCATGACGTCCTTCCATGTTTTGCTTGTTAAATGTCATCAGAGTAGAAATTAGGCCTGTTAGGGTGGAGCTATTGTCTCCAAGTCAGAGTAGCTCCCCTGTTGTTCAGATCTTGGGGCAGAAACAAAGCCCCACCTCCCACGTCTGCTTTCTGCAATTGCCTTTACCTCACCAAAAATTCCGAGTTTAATGTTTCCTATGGTGTCCACTGAATGCTTGGGCAACGTGTTGGTGAGAGGCTGGTGTGTTGTTATGACACAGTAGAAATTTTGCAAACTCAGTATGAATGTCCCACATGAAGTGCTTTAACCCTCAGTATTTCCTGATCAAGAGGAAAAGCCAGTCTCTGGTTGGGCCTCCACGATGACATGGGCAACGGCGAACTCTCTGCTTCCAGCTGAGCTAAAGCCTATTTGTAGCCAAATTCCTGGGGCCTGCTGGCTGCATCTAAAGTCTTTATTCCAAGCTATTACCAGGTTTACTTTTCAAATCAACATAAAACTTGCAGGAAAAGATCTTCCAACTCAGTTTTTCCTTCTCCTGAAATGAAGCTACATATGTCACGTTTGCGTGCTTTCCTGTGGCTCATCCCTCTAAAATTAGAAATCTGAGCCTTCAACAAGTGGTAGTATTTTCTTTTTTTTAATGAAGCAGCTGTGTGGAGACACCACTGCATGTGGAAGTTTACCTGCAGGCACCACCCGCACAGCATGTTGAAGTCACTCCATCCCACAGCCGATGGCAGAGCTGACCTTGTGTCAGCCATGGGGTGGTGCTGTCGGGGCAGCAACTGGACACCACAGGACAGTTTGGTTCTGTTTCATCGTGTTTGAAAAAGTCGCAGTTTAAATGATAATTTTTATATCAATGGGTACTTGAGTCCACTGCTAGACCCCATTCATACTAATTGATGTGAATTTTCAGTTTGGTACGATTAGAAATGATTCATTGAAGTAGATGGATAAGAACAGTCCGTCTACCCTGAGGGTCACTCAATGCTTCATTCTACCTCTAAACCATCACGTTGGTGTGGGCGTGGGTGCCCGGGTCCAGCCTGACCGCTTGCTGGTGGAATTGGGGTGGGTTGATGGCCCTCTGTTGATATTTGGTAGAAGACAGTAGACTGGCCCAGCAGCGAGCACTCATCTTTGGGAATGTGTGAAGTCTTGCCTTATGGAATGTGTGCTTTAAAAATGTTGCCTAGTGTCATGAATACTTGGAAAGAACTATGGCAGGAGTTACAAGAAGACTAGATGCTAGTCTGCTGCTAGTTGCCAAGGCCCAGGGACGTTTCTGTGTAAGGGTTAGTTGGGAAAGAAGGCAGCCCTTCAAAAGTCATCAGGTTCATCGCTGGGACATTTGGAGAAAGGAGTAGGATCCACAGACATCCCTGCACATTATTAGAGGCGGAAGAGTAGCTCTGAAACAATTTGGCCATCTTTGGATTTTGTCTTCCTCTGTTCAGTCCCCATGTGATGTTCCTGTGCTTAAGACACCAGAGAGCGGGAACAAGGCAAATTGCCCTTCTCTCCCCGCATGCCATTGGTTGCAGAGCTGGGAAAAGCAGTATGTTGCAGACTTCCTTGGAGAAACGGTCTGGGCTGGCATCTGATAAGGTTAGGAGGCAGGACCAGAAGGAAAGGGACAGCAGGCAGGGAAGAAGGCTCTCCAGTCCTCCCCAGGGCTCCCTTGGGCCCCTGAGGGTCAGCAGCCCCAAGCATTTGCCTCTTCAGCTCAATCAGCACAAGGGTGGTTGATCCCCTGGGAGACGTGTAACTCAGAGACTTCTGTGCCAAAGACTGCCTCATAGAGGCTTTATAACCCCATCCTTGGCTCCACAAAGCCGTGGTGCTGAGATCACCGACTCTTATCTTGTATTTATTTTTCAGGAAATTTTTGCTTGCAGATGGGCCTTACCTTGCGCAGACAGACATAGGCAGGTTTTGAGGCTTGAGCACATGGCAGTGGAGTAGATAGGCATCCCTGTCAGCTGCCCCCGGGCCTGGGAAGTGAAAGGTTTCATTGACCCAGGTTAAAAATTCAGGCCAAGGCAGAAGAGAGAATTCCTAGAAACAGAGCAGATTTTAGAGAGCAAATGATGTTGAAGAGAGCAGTTGTGACGGGTAGCAGATGCCCACAGTGCTCTTCCTTATCATGTGGTGGGCCTACAGGAAGATTTTAGGCTATTCTGCAAGGAACCACTGCCACTGATGGAGGAGGAACATCCTACACAGCCAGGTTCTGGGTCAGGATTTCTTGAATAAGACGTAATGATGATTCCTGGTGAGCTCAGATAAGTGCGATTATGGAGGCGATTTGCTTGTATTTCACTGTGCTGCTCCTTGAACTCACCAGACACCTTTCTTTTACTGAAATAACATAACCCAGCACCACGCTGGGGATCGTGGTGAATGTAACGTAATCTTGTCTTCATGCCAAATTCCAGCCACATCCTGAGCGTGTCTGACATGTTGAAGCGAATGTGTTTTCTTAGTCGCTGCCCATGTGGGAAATCTAAGTGCACACCTGCTGCTGGCTTCTTGTGAGGCTGCCTTTTGTGATGAACGACAGGAAGTTCTGCTTCACAGGAGGGCATCCTGGCCCTGTGACAGCCTGCAAGTGGAGTTTCTCTGAGGACCGTTTCAGTCCAAGAAATACCCAGAGTTTGTGTGACTGGGCCCTGCAGTTGAGAGCATTGAAACCATGGGCACCTGGCTCTGTTTTGCCACCATTCATTGGAGAGCAGGACAGTCATTCTCTATACTCTATCCCGACTGGTGAGAGAGGAGGCACACCGGGGCCCAGGGCGACCTCCCAGGTCTGTGTTGGGCTCATCTGTTTGGGTCTTGGGATGGGTTAGGGCTGCACTAAACGGTGCTTCTGCTCAGAAAATGGGCTGCCTGTGGTCAGGGCGGGCCCACCATCCTGGACTCCGCCTTCCTAGACGCCTACTTTAAAGGCCTGTGGAAACCGGGTAATCTAATTACAAGGCTGGGGTAACACTGCTTTGGTCATCCCCGTTTACACAGTGATGTCGGGAATCGGGGTTTGCCTCTTACTTTCAAAAGTCTTCAAGATGGTGACAGGTTGGACAAGCCCTCTCACTCCTTATGTTTTCTCTGTTTGGATGGCAGGTGGCATTTGCCAGTAAATTTGAGGAAAACTTCATCCCCTGGGCCAGACAAATTGAGCTGGGTGTGCTGGAGTTGTCCTTTTCCTTGTGGTTTTTTAAAAATTCAGTGACTAAACCAGAAACTCAGTATTCGATCAGCCCACCCAGTAGGTGGTTGGCTTTTATCTGAAGGACGCCTGTCTCCCCACAGCTGCACAGATCTGAGACTGCATCAGAAAAGGCGGGGAGGGGCTGTTGCAGGGCATTGACCGTTCTTTCTTAATCCTATGTGTTTGAAATGCTTTCTGGGTACAGCTGGCTAACCCCTTCTGTGTGGCCGAGAAATATGTTATCCAGGTGGTTTTTACTACTATAGAGAGCCTGTAAATAAGGGCTTTGAAAAAATAACATTAACAAACCAGTAAGATTATTTGTCTCAGACATACACGTTCTGTGTACTTAGCACTTGCAGATCAACAAATTCAGACTTTGAAAAATGCCACAGACTGTTAAAAGCCTGACTCTACTTTTTTGAGAATTTGTCAACACCTGTTAAAATGCCTTATTCTTCAACGAGCACTTTTTAGATTCTGGATAAAAAAGAGTTTTTAGAAATGTAGTCAGTTGTTCAGCTTAAATGCCAGAGGTCTAACATAGCCAGTGCTCAGTCCTCTTAAAGAAACAGGCAAGAAGGTGAGGCTCATAACTAGGGCTGCCTTTTGGGAGGAGAAAGCTAAGTATTGCTATTGCCAAATGATGTTTTTGCTAATGTAAGGAAACACAGGGACCACAGAACCTTTTTTTTGTCTGAGAGTGTGGAAGATTAATTTCTTGCCTGTTGGCACACTTTTGATTGTGGAGGAGATAGGGCATCAGCATCGACAAATCACATAGATACAAAGAGCTCTATAGATTACGACAATATTAAAGGTTTACCCTGATTCTGCAGAGCAGCTCTTTAAGAGATACTGTGGGGGCCTCAGGGCAGCACATTTTAGAAAGAAATTCTCCACAGGTTGAAATGCCAAAAACATAAAACATGTTGTGTTGACTCACGTAACTTAGTCCATTTTAACAGAGTGCTTTCAGTGGAGACCAGTGACTGAGTCGTGCGCCTGCTGTGCGCTCACCGTGGGATTCTGGCTCCCTGGGAGGCAGGTGAGAGCAGGCAGCCCCTGTCAGCACCCGTTTCACAGGCTGGCTCGCAGGCCCAGACCAACCCTCCAGTCACAAACCGGAGAGAAGAAGGGGAATTGCTTTTTCCTCGGTGTGGAAATGGCGATAGAAGTAGATTGCAAACAAAAATGTGACTCATTGTGTTGCAATGATGCCCGTGTCAGCTGGGCCTCCATCAAATACCAAACCAGCAGCTCTGAACAGTGAGCACCGTTCGCCTGGACGCCTTTGAGGTTTGGGTCCTGGCCAGCAGGTGCCCTGTCCGTTGTCCTCCTGCGTGCCTGCTCCCTTGATGTCTGTGGGCTGGGAATGCATGGAGAAGTGATGTACGCCTGACAGTGTTCCCACGAAATAAACTGCCAGCAGACTTTCTAACTTGTATTTTAACTGTTGAAAAAGATTTAAAAAAAAAACAAAACTTTTGCTTAGGTCATGTCCAAATTATGGACTGTATTTCTTATGTTTAGAAGTCATTCTTTACATTTAAAATTTTTAAAGGGGGGGGAAAAAACCTTCGGAGGTGTTGATAAAGTCCCCTGTGTAAATGTGTTCTCTCTCCAAGCTGCCATTAAGCCAAATCAAAAGCTGTGAATAAAAAATGTGTTCGGGAACGTGTGTCGATGAGAAAGTGATTTATTTACGGATCAAAGTCTGTTTCACGAAGCTACCAAATTTTTAAAAGAATGTCACCTTTTTTCCCTTGTTGTGGAACCGAGAGATTGTAAAAAGAAAAGAAGAGCTTTTGTTGCATTTTGGATGCTGGCACGAGGTTTTTGTCCATTTTTTTCACATGTCTGTGTATAAAAAATTCTGTCCATTGTTTACTATGGGATTAGTATTACATTTTGAGGTAAACAAAAGAATTTGTATTGCTTGATAAACTCTTAGCCTGTAAATTTCCAAGGTTTCTTTACCTCAATTAACTTAAAGTAATGGACCAATAAACCTATGAAAGATGCTTTCTTTACCTTGAGTCATGTCCTCATTTGTACCCCTTTATAGGAGCAGAAACATGTGCGCCTCTTACTTTTTTCTTCTCTAAAGTTTGCCTGCAAGGATCAGGATATACAGAGCAACAGAAACAAAGTATAATTGAACAATTTTTAATCTTCTTCACTTCTTTATAGACTCATCCTCAGTTTACCGCCTCCTACATCTATAAGTTCGCACCAGTTTGGGGAGATGAAGAAACTACCTAGTGTCTGTACCATAACCATGTACGAAACCACGATTGGCAGGGAAGCTGGCAGCCAGCCCAGGAAATTACACGAAGGCTTTGTTCCTACTTCATCCGTAGCAAAGCACAACACCATATTCTGGGACAGAGCCAGTCATTTCCTGATTTCTTTTCGACTGCTTAGATGTTATTTAAAAATCCGTAAGGAAAGGAGAAATGTCTGTGGTTCATTAGAGTGTTCCAGTGTGTTGCAAATTAGAGACTAGAATACTCGGCTAAGCTTTCCTAATGATGACAATGGTGACCTGGAAATGGACTGAAACTGGTGATAACTTGGCTTACTGATAGATATTAGACCTCATTAAAATAATATAAGATGGAAGACGTCATTTATATAGTGCAGCCATACAAAATGAAGCAGCAAGGTGGGATAAAAGAGAGAGATTTGGGATCAAATTTCAGCTTTTCCACTTACTATGTGGCTTTGGGCTGGTCACATCCCTCTGAACTTCAGTGTTGTGATTTTTGAATGAAGGTACATCTCCCCTGAAGCGTTGCTGATTGGAACCAGCCATGATGTATACAAAGCACCTAAGTGTCTGCCAGGCACCCATTATAGGATAGCCCTTATGGGAAGGCTCTTCCTAGAACTTGTTTAAATATGGCCAACTTCAATATTAAGGATGTTCCCATAACCATCCTTCCTGGGTGCTTTGCCACTGAAAATTAAGAATTGGGATATACCCCTTTGAACTGGTTTCTTTTAAAGAAGATGATGGAGGTAGCATGTGGGAGGATTTGATGGGAATAAACTGAAACAGTGGCAAGAAGTGATGGAAAGGGAACTGGGTTTGAGAGATTTCTGTGGCGGGAAGCGGTCAGAGATGACGTGGAGACCTCCGGCCTGGGAGCCAGGAGGTGAACTGTGAAATCAATCGGGATGGGAGCATAAAAGATGGAGTGAGTTTAGATGCTGGGGTGGGAGAAGGGGAATTTGGTTTGGATTTATGTTTGAGGAAATCTAGGCGGGGGTGTCGACTGGATTGATGGAAAGAGCGTTCTGGAGTCAGTAGGAGTAAACTAGCAGCTTTGGGGGACTAAAGCATTCAGGACGCAGGGAGAGGAGGAGGGGGACTCGGGGACAAATTTTTAGGAAAAAACGTCAGGACTACAGATTAGAACCCTGGCTCTTAAGCATGACAGCTTGTGAAAACACCAGTTGTTGGGCCCCACGCAAGAGCATTTGATTCCACTGGGGCCCAAGAATTTGGATTTCTAACGGGTTCCCGGGGATTGCTGATGCTGCTGGCACAGGGACCTCACTTTGAGGACCCCAGGGTTAGAACGTGTTAGAAGAAATGGCGACCTGGGGAGAGCAGAAAAGGTTTGAAACTGCTACCCTAGTGACAGGTGGGGTTGTAAAGGAGCCTCCATTGGGGCTTTGAGAGCCTAACTCAGGTTAAAACCCACAGTGTATGGCAGGGTCAGTGTGGACAAGTAAGAACATTTTTCTAGATGTTCAGAGCGAGCTTCTCAGGAGTAGGAATGAAGAAGCCAATGATTCACTGAGGTTGGAGAAACCATTCAGGGGCAGGGTGGGCAGCAAGGAATCAGGAGGAACGAGCCTATTGGTGAGAGACAGGAGCATGGCCTTGAACACCCACCCTCCTGGGTTTACGTTGCCTCTCTCAGTGAGGGCTCTGCCTTCTCCCTAGTTGCCTGAAACACGAATCCAAGTCATTCTTGCTTCCATCTACCTCACCCCCTACAGTCCATCCATCACCACCTCCTGTTCACCCCTAGTTTCCAAATATTTCTCGGAGTCCACCTTCTTTTCTCCGTCCTCATACCTTCTTGCCTAGTGTTAGTCCACCATCACCCTTCACCTGGGCTGCTGCAAGGGTCTCTCTGCTTGTCTCCTTTCTGCAAACCTTGCTCATTCCTTCCTCCACCCGTTCATCCTCGGTGCTGCCGGAGAGCTCTTTCTGAGACACGCAGGTAGGCGATCCGTGTTCCTGCTTAAAACCTTTCAACAGCTAGCCCCATTCCTCTAGAGAGACACTTTCTTAAAGCCTGGATTTTATGTTGTGCCCCCTTACTGCCCAGTCTCATCTCTCCATGCAATCCTCTTTGCTACCTCTCCCTCCCTTCCTCTTCGCTCTCCTGACATTGAATTCCTTTATCTGGCTATATTTTCACCTTCAGGCCTTCCAGAATGTTGTTCCATTTGTCTGGAATGTCTCCCAACTTCTGGCCTTGGTAGTCTTATCATATGCCACTTCTGAGAAGCCCTCCCTGCTCTCCTAAATCTGGATCGAATGCTCCTGTATGTTAGCATTCATTATAGGACATGTCGTTGCCTGCTCTTCTGTCTGCTCCACCTGCTGGACAGTACACCCTGTTAGGACAGGAGCAGTCATGCTCTTGATATATCTCAGCGCCTAGCGTGGCGCTGGGACCTTAGCAGATGTGCCAAGAAGTTTTGTTTCTTCCCTGCAAGGATCAGAGATACAAAGCCCCTGAGCCCAGATGCTCTGAGATTGAAACACATTCTCTAGCTTTAAGTTTTACTCAGTATAAGGATGCCGTGCCTGTGCTTACAGAGGGAATCTGACCGGGGAGAGAATGGGTCACATACGTGTTATGAAGGATGATTTTACGAGGAGGCGAGTCTGCTCTTTTACATGTAAGGGAATTAGGCAATAAAAGCACCTCAAAATAAAATGGCTCTTCGTGTGTTTCCTCTGCCCCTCCCTTCACACCACTCGCTTTTGCTTTTTGAAGTAGTGTTGATTGAAAGTGTTCAATTTAACACCTTGCTGATGGGTCACGAGTATTCAAGGGCAAGTTCTGGCTGGAAATAACCAGAAGGTGTTTCAATGTTCCGTTAAAGAAAACAGCTTGACAACTGCTTCTTAAAAACAATAGTGACAACAACAGCGAAACTACCCCGAAGCCAAGAGCCTGAGCTCTGAATCTCTCCTGAGTGTTCACAGCTAACAAGGTCACAGGAAGAAAGCTAACTTTTATCCAAGGTTTTATTTTAATTAAAAAAATATTGACTGATGTTCACTATTAGCAGTTCTTACAAAACATCCCTTCCACATTCCCCTCAAGCTTGGTTTGAGTTCTCACCTGGGACTTCTAGCACGGCACCCAGATGGCCAGTTAGCCGTACCTTGGAGCCCGGGAGACAATTTCTGGAAGCAAAGGGGCTGCTGCCTGAAGCTCCTGGCAGCGTCTGGTATGGCTGTGCATGCGGCTTGCGTGTACCCATTAAAGCTCACACTACTGCTCGCAGAACCTAACCTCTGCCTGTCAGGGGCATCTGAGAGCTGAGACAGCTCTTCCATCACCAGGAAAATGCTTTTCCCACCCACCAGGGACCCCTGAGCCAGAGCAGGTCATTCCGAGGCTGACTCTAGCTGGAGCTCGGGTTTCTCAGCAGGGGGTTGCTTTGGTCACCGTTTCCTGGCCCCTTCCATGGTCTTCAGAGGGGCCTGGCCCTTGCTGGTGTTTGCAGCGCCTTCATGTCTCTGTGACGTCCGCATGTTTCAACCATGAGGCTTGTTTGTAGGCCACGATGCTGTAAGAATTTACAAGAGAGAATTATAAGAGAACAGCTGGAGTGGGGCAAAGGCGTGCTTTTTCCTCCCCACCGATGGCGGGGAGGGCTCTCGCCACCTCCATCACTGATAGACTGAGAGGCTGAGTCCATGAGAGCACCAGAATGCTGTACTGAGTGGAGAGAGGTGGCCCAAGGGGACGGCGCTCCCCCAGCCGTGTTCCAGCCCTGTAACATCTGCAGCCTTTGCACTTTCCTTCTGTGTCCACCTCTGTCCCAAGGAGTAGCTCCTACATCTATCTCAAGACCAAGGGTCTCTAATCCCAAGTAGAATTAGCTGCCTCATCTTCTGCCTTTCCGCAGCCCCTTTACCTCTTCCATAAGTCATTACACTGATTAAAAATATTTGTAGGTAAATGAATGTGTAGGAATGCATAGCTCTAAGTTGAAATCTTGGATCTGTGTGACTTTTGGTTCTAAGCTCTTCCTGAATGATATTGAACACTTAGAGCTGGCTGGATGGGGTAGGAGCTGAAATCCAAATCTCTAAAGGAAAACTTTGTGGAAACTTCCCATCACTATGATTTCCCACCTTCCATGAGCCCCAGGGCTTTACAGGGAGGGACACTTACTGTACTTAAAACTGATTGTATTGCAAAACTGGCAAGAAGAGAGCCAAGACTTCAAAGCAGCCAGCCTGGGACCACGTGAGCTCGGATTGAGCCCTGACCGTGTCTCATGGACCACGATAGCACAGCCACATGGGCATGGGGAGCCCCTGACTTCAGGGTCAGCCAGCAGGGGATGTGGATGGTCAGCAGTGTTGGTAGTAGGTGCCACACCCTTTGACAGATCATTCATTCATTAAACAAATGTGCTTGAGTACTTCTTTTATGCCAGGCTCGCTACTGGACACAGAAGATACATGGTGAGTCAGTCATGGGGTCCCTGTAGGAAGTGGTTAGTGGCAGGAATTGGAGCCTAGAGAGGTTGGCAAGGGCAGATATTGCAGGACCTTGTGGTCCATGGTGAGATATTTGGGTTTTATCCAAAGAGCACCGAAAGCCAAGTGCAGAGCTTTGAGCAAGAGATGACATGATCTGATTTACCCTTCTAGGAAATTGCTTTGGCCACCTGGTGGAGAGCAGATGGGAGGCAAACAAGAGTAGCTGTGGGGAGAATGGCTCAGAGGCTAATTCGGTCATCCAGGTGCTTTGGACCAGGAGTGGCAACAGAAAGATAAAAGGAAAAGAATGGATTTGACGCATATTTTGGAGTTAGAATCAACGAGGCCTGATGGATTGGAGGTGGGGGGAACATAATGGTGATGATTTCTACCGTGGGTGAGGGGCAGGGCCATTTAATGAGATGGGAAAGACTGGAGGGAGAACAGATTTAGGAGGGGGTCAAGAACCCAATTTTGGAAATTTAAATAATTTCAAGTTTTGAAAGTACTTTAGGTGACTTAGAGAACATGAAGTGAGAAGGCAACCCAGAGCAGAGCCCCAAAGAATTCTTCCATTTGGAAGTTTGCAGAGAAGTGATCAGAGATGTAGAAGAACAACCGAGAGAGTAAGGTGCTGAGAAAAGCGAGTGACAGTGACAATTGCCACCCAAGGAAAGAGTGATCAACAGTGTTAAGGGCCACTGAGAAATCATGTGGGGTGAGGACTGCAGCGAATCCACTGGATTTAGCTTTGAAGAAGTCATGTCCTAGTTTCAGTGAGATCGGCTCCGCAGAGCTGAACTGGGGACATCAGTCTCTAGAGGGTTGCAAAGTGCATGGGAGGGGAGGACCTGAGACAGCATGTGCAGACAAGCCTTTGGAGAACTTGGCTCTCAGGAGGAGGAAGGAGGAAGGAGAGGAGGCGGTCCAGAGGGTAGTGCATCAGGTGTCAGTTCTGGTAGGAAACATTCAGGAGAGAGAGCAGCTAACTAGTGCAGTGACAGCTCTGAGGAGATGGGAGAGGTGGCACCCAGACACCTGGTGACTTTTTCTAAGAAGCAATGTCATGTAGTAGATAAAAGACACTGCCTGGGTTCAAATCCTGTCTCTGCCACTTACTAGCTGTGTAACCTTTGGCAAGTTACATAATACTTTAGAGTCTATTTCCTCATCTGCAAAATGAGGATGATAATAGTAATTTGATAAAAGGACTGTTTGAGAAGATTAAATGAATTACAATATATTAAATATTTAAAGTAGTGCCTGGCACATATCAAAGGCACTCAAGTGTTTGCAATTATTATTTAAAAAAGGGTCGAGGAGGAGACTAGGGTGGATGCAAATAAAGATAGGTTTATAGGTTTACTCTGGGGATGGCGATGGCTGCTATTTTCTCCATAAAGCATGACGCACTGGCTGAGCACATGTGTGTTGGGTGGGGAGTGGGCTGCAGATGGACTGGGCCAGACGTTTATTTCCTCAGCATCTCCCTATTGCATATAAGGAAAGCAAGCAGGAGAGGTCAGGTCCCACAGTAATGTGAAATTGGCACCAGGAGCGGCCAGGGCCAAAGTCCCTTCTTGCAAATAGGCTGTTGACAGCTGTAGCCCAAGGACCTCTCCTCCCAGCCTACTGCCCTCCACGGGCTCCCCGCGCCCCTGCTCTGATGTGCCTTCCTGGGTTCTTATGACCTTGGAATGTAGCTTTTCCCCCTGCAGTTAGAGAGCTCTACTGGTCTTTCCTGTTGATGTCACTTAATGATTAATGGTACAGCCTTGGACTGTTCTAGCTGTAAAAAGCCTTAATGATTGATGGCCCCTTTGTCAGAAGGCCCGACTTTCTATGCAGGCAGGGATGTACATTGTGATGTGATGTGAGAATTAAAAACAGGGCCTTACCACCATCCACTTCCTACTTCTCCCACCTGCCTTCACTTGTTTCCCACCCTGCCGTCTATAATACCACCCTTACTGGGACGCACAGCCGTCATGGGCTCCTAGGCAGCCCTCCTTAAAATGCAAGTCTTGGCTGCAGGCTCGCTCCCCGGCTCTGGTTGGGAGCCCGTGTAGGAGGCAACCAATTGATGTGCCTCTCTCACATCGATGTTTCTCTCTCTCCCCCCCCTCCACTCTTTCTGAAAAGCAATGGAAAATCCTCAGGTGAGGGTTTTAAAAATAAAAATTAATTAATTAAAATGCAACTCTACATCAAATCCCATGCACCTTACTGTGGATATATTTATTGCATTCCTTTCTCCTCTGGTGGGACTGAGACAAGCCTGAGAGAACCGTACCTAAAGGAAAGGGGGAAAAGGGCTTAAACAGTCCAAGCTGTGCTGCCACTAGTCACATTGGCTACCAACCACTTGAAGTGTGACTAGTCCAAATTGAAATGTAGCGTCAGCATAAAATCCATACTAGATTTTAAAGATTCAGTAAAAAAAAACAACAAAAACCCTCATTGGTTAATTTTGTAAATTGATTACATGAGAAAATGATAGTTTGGACATAGTAGGTTAAAGCAAATATGTTATTAAATTGATTTCACCGGTTACTTTTATCATTGTTAAATGTGACTACTGGAAAGTTTAACATCACCAGCATGGCTTGCACTTGTGGCTCGTTCCATATTTTCATTGGACAGGGCTGGTCGAAGACCAGACTCTTCCATGTGGTCCAGGTTGGTGATGACTTAGGCTGGCACTCTGGCTACGGACCTGGAGGGCCTCTCCTTTGCTTGTCTAGCTTTTCTCCTGCCTGTTATCTCCCCAACTTGAGGGCTCTTGTTTTACAAATGAGACAATTCCCCCAAAAGACATCAAGGGAATTGCCCAGTCTTAGGGGAACCTCACACAGTCCAGTGGCCGTGAGATTTCAGGGGCACTGAGCACAGAGGCTGCCAGGTGCCAAGCCCTGGGAGGCACAGAGAAGAACGAGTGCCGAAGTGAGGAGGGCTGACTCCTCCATAAAGGGAGCTAAGCCAAAGAGGTCTGAGAGGTTCAAGAGGTTTTCTAATCTCAGCTTTTGATCATAAGGAAGTGTATGAGGCTCCTATAAATAAATTGTATTACAAAACTGCCAGGAAGTGAGCCCGCTGGTTGGGGCCTTCTGTTCATTACTCATGACTTTGGGGAATTCCCAAATAATTAATGTGGGAGAACATCAGCACTTTTTCTTTGCGAGAGAACCTACTGAGAACCCACCGAAAATAAATCATGCTTTATGATAATAGGTTGGAGATGGTCCAACAGCCCTTTACCTAAGCCCCAGGGCCCCAGCCCAAGCAGCAGACATGGTCCCATCTTACCCAATCGGGACGATGGCCAGGAAGGAGAGAAAGGAGGAGAGAGCGAAGCAGGTACCCACAAACTTTTCCATGGTGAGCTGATAGATCTCGTTATACAGCGTGGATGTCACCACCCAGGTCAGAGTCAGCAACAGCTGCAGGATGACAAACACCTTGCCTGTGGAAGGAATGGAAGTTACTAAGGAGCTGTGTTGCTCTCCCTGTCTGCTCCCAGCTAGCTGGGTCTCTGGGAGCTCTCAGGAGACCCCTCCTCCTTCCCAGGACTCCCCCTCAGCCTTCATGGCTCATTTCACCAGGGCTCCTGCCTCCCTCCGGTGGATCTACCTATGGCCTGTGGATGGTAGTGTCTTCCTCTGGCTGTGGCTTTTCAGTGACTGACTTTCTGAGTCTGTCCCACCCTCCTGTTTTTAGTCCCTCTGCCCTGGATGGACACCATCCAGCGTGTTTCTGGAGTGTTTGAGATTGCTTCTGGAACTCTCTTCGTGTGCCTTCTGCAAGCCCGAACCCTGTGCCTCAAGCCAAACAGCCCCGGCAGAGGATCTCAGAGAGATTCATTTTACTCACCATATGAAGAGTCCTTTATGAGTTTGGACATTGCTGATCGAATGGTTGTGATGGGGATGAGAGCGAACAGCATGACAGCTCGAGCTGGAAAGAAATCACACGAGAACACTCCTAATTGTAGCCCAACCTTGGTCAAGGCATAAATTAAAATAAAGCGAAAGTCTCACTTAGAATTCCCTCTCCCCATAGCTCCGATGTGGCTTGCTCTGGAAGACTCCTGCCCTCCTGGTAACTGGCTGAAGTTGTTCTGTCTCATATGTTAACCACTAGCCTTGTGTGGCTATTTATATTGATTAAAGTGAAATTAAATTTTAAATTCTGTTCTTTACTTGCACTAGCCACATTTCAAGTGCTCATTAGCCACATGTGGCTTGTGGCTACTATATTGGACAAAACAGATACAGAACCTTTTTCTCATTGTAGAAAGTGCTACTAGAGCATTGGTCTAGAGCTCTCCGCTTGTGGTTGTCTGAACTGTGTCCTCACATGAAACTTCATTCTACTTCCTTGAAGGAATTTATTACATTGGTTGTAGAAAGCATTTATGGATAAAATTTTAATTCATTTTTAGAAAGCTTTTGCTAGGCCTGAAGTAATCTTAATTAAGGGATCTTTTCAGTTGGATTATTTACTGTTTTATCCCTTTAAAATTGGGGGGAAGAAACCCAACCCCATCTCCTCCATCCAAGACCATTCTGAAGCCTCTTCTACTGACTCCAGGTACCACTGGCAGTTCCTCCCGTGACCTCCTAGAACCATGGACACCACTCTGGTAACATTTCAGAGGGCAATACAGATAACACAGTACACAATACAACACAGGTAAATTCAAGTGCACATAATCCTGTCCCCCTTGAACCTCCTACTTAGCAGGTATAATCCCTGGTGCTGAGCTAGGACACCCAGACCACAGCATTCCTGGTGTCAGCCCCGTGACTCAGGACCAGCACTGTCTTTGTCCTGCCTCCCAAGAATGTCAGACTCACCAATGAAGAACATGTACGTCTCTTTCACAAAACTCAATAGGAGGGCTCCTGATCCAAAGGAGACCATCCCAATCATGATCATGGTGGTATCCCGGAGGCAGCGAGAGAAGACCAGGACTCCCAGGAAGCTGGTGATGAAGATGATGTACCCTGCAGCCATTCCATAGCCCACCTGCACTTGGTTCCAACTGAGAGGCGCCCTCAGCATAAACAGGGGCATCACGTCCACAGTGCCCACCACTGCCAGGTCATAGAGGATGGCGCCCAGAAAGAGCAGGACAATAATGTTTTTTGGGGGCTTTGCCTTCCTAGGAGGTAGAGGGTACCCCACCACGCTCTGCCTGTCTGGCTGATCAGGATCCAGGGTACGATATGTGCCAACCGTGCCCGACACTGTGTCCACAGTAGGGGGTGCCTTTTGGGGCTTGGCCGCCAACTCAGGGACCTTCAGGACCAAGAGGCTGTAGAAAAGGGCAAAAGAGGCACAGCTCACGCTGCAAGCCGTCAGCACCAGGCCCTGCCAGGCTTTCCCAGACGTCTGCTGGAAGAGATGCCCGGAGACCATGCTCCCACAGAATCCCGCCAAGCCCAAGATCAGGTCAATAAAGATGAGGCGAACCGACCGGCGGCCCTCAGAGGAGCCGAGGGATCCCAGGGATATCACCCCGGCCCAGTACGCTGAGAGGCCTCCGCAGAGCCCGTTCAGGCCCACGGCCCAGTACATCACCTCCATGGGCCAATCCCATAGCACCTTGAACAGCAGCCCTAGTCGGCAGAGCAGGATGCCCAGCAGGGCCACACAGATTGAGATTTTGCGGTGGTAGCGGTCGCTGAGCCAGCCCAGGCAGTAGGCGGGCAGCAGGGGCGTCAGGCCCGTCACAATGTTGTAGATGATATAGAAATTGGAGATGGCCTTCTGCTGTTGGTCCTCCAGGGTCCCCCGGGGCGATGGACTGGCGCTGTGGTTGGAGGCTCGGGCCCCTAAGGATTCCTTCAGTACTAGGAGCAGCCCCGCATCGTAGAGCGAGCTGGCCACCTGAGTGGAGGCCACCACAGGCTCAATCCAGGTCCTCACCTGGAGGCCAGACAGGTAGCCCCTGCAGGTGACCTCGGAGCCCATGTGGTCTCTCGGCTGGGGGATGGAGGGGCTTGGGTAAGGGTAGGAGAGGGTGAACCCAGCCGGATGCAGGATGCGTGTGGCTGGAACCAGCTCGGCAGCCAAGCGACCTTCCTGGCCACTCCTCCCCAGCCAGAAGAGGCCGCTCCGCCCCGGCCTCCGCCCCCAGGGGCCAGAGCCGCGCTGGCGGCACCGGGCAGCCAGGGAGGGGAGCGCACAGGGAGCCTCGGCCCCGCGTCCCCACCCTTGGCGGCCGCGTCCTGCTGCTCCAGTGAGCCGGCAGCCTGACCGGCTCCGATTTCCCCACAGCCAGGCGTGCCGGGACTTCCCGCAGGTCGCTGGGTATCTTCCTCTAGGGCTTGTCACCGCACGGGCTGAGACTCCCCAGGATGCCCGGCTTCCTCTTTATGAACACTTCTGCAAAGAGGACCAGGGTGATGGGCGGTGCAGGGGCAAAAATGGTCCTGCCCTGGGATGGAGAGTCAACACACAGCTCCTCCCCGCCTGCTCAGTCCTGACAGCCGTGGCAGCGCGGATGAGCAGGAGCCCAGTCACACAAGGGAAACACAAGTCTGCAGGGAGAGTTTACAAAGCCACGTAGATAATGTACTTCTGCGTGTAGGGACTAAACTAACGATTTTCTGTAGAAATATGTCCTTTAGGTAGTTTTTAGGTGAGGTATAATCTTCTCTATCCCCCCCCCCGTCACTGCCCAGCCCCTGTGTCCAGGCCCAGACAAATGTGCCTGTGCAAAGAAAAAGACCCATGTAGTCCCCCTCTCCAAGATGTGCCCTATGGAGCTGGCCGGGCAGTCCCCTCAAAGCTTCCTTCCTTCCCGCTTCCTCGCCCTCACCTAGGCCCACCTGGGGAGGAATTGGTTTCACCCAGCCCATGCGTGGCTCTCCCACTCCATTCCTAACCCTGTTTTTCCAGAGGCTGCAGCAAAGCAGTCCAACCAGCCTGTTCCCCTGAGGGGCAGA